TAACCAGCTCAGTGCCCCTTTGGTACCTGGGCCCTTGTCTGGTGCCCAGGAAGAATCAGGTTACACACAGACTTGAAGAGTGGTGAATGTGGGGGTGTTATTGAGTGCTGGCTCTCAGTGGGGTGGATGGGGAGCCGGAAAGGGGATGGAGTGGGGAGATGATCCCTTGGACTTCAGCAGTCCAAGACAAACTCCTCTCCAACTGTCCCCAGCCAGATTCCTTTAGATGTTCAGATGCCCCTTCTCTTCTCACCTTCTCAGCTGTGCTGTTCTGCTCTTTGGCTCTTCCACGCATCTCCTCATGGACCCAGGGTTCGGGGTTTATATAGGTACAGGAAGTGGGGTGTGGTGGACCAAGATGCAACATTTGGGCACAAAAACAGTAATGCCTGTTCCCATTTAGTGCCTCGGGTTTCCAGGCTTGAGGGTGGGGCTTTTGCCAGGGAACTGCACAGTATTTCCCTGTCTCCTGTTCATATCAGGAAGATTGCTTGGGTCTATGAGTTTGAGACCAGCTTGGGCAACATAGTGAGACCTCTGCCTCTACAAAAAATAAAAATACTAGCTGAGAGTGGTGACGTATGCCTGTAGTCCCAACTGCTTAAGAGGCAGAGGTGAAAGGATCACTTGAGCCTGGGAGGTTGAGGCTGCAGTGAGCTGTGGTCATGCCACTGCATTCCACCCTGGGTGACAGCGTGAGATCCTGTTCCAAAAACAGAAGAAAAAAATCTGTCAGGGGGTAGATTTCATGTTGTGTTCTTAACACAATAAAATAAATTTTAAAAGAAGAATCAATGATTTTTTTAATTAAAAAGTTAAATTTTATTTATTCATTATTATTATTTTTTGAGACATTAGAGTCTCACTGAGATGCCCAAGCTAGAGTGCAGTGGCATGTTCTCAGCTCACTGCAAACTCCGTCTCCCCAGTAGCTAGGACTACAGGCACACACCACCATGCCCTGCTAACTTTTTGTAGAGATGGGGTTTCACCATGTTGGCCTGGCTGGTCTTGAACTCCTGGCATCAAATGATCTGCCCACCTTGGCCTTTCAAAGTGCTGAGATTATAGGCATGAGCCGCCTCGCCTGGCCAAAAAAAAAAAAGAAATTAATTAATTAAAAAAAATTTTGGCTGGGCACAGCAGCTCACACCTGTAATCCCAGCACTTTGGGAGGCAGAGACAGGCAGATTGCAAGAGCTCAAGAGTTCGAGACCAGCCTAGGCAACACAGTAAAACCCCATCTCTACAAAAAATACAAAAATTAGCTGAGTGTGGTGGCACATGCCTATGGTCCCAGCTACCTGGGAGGCTGAGGCAAGAGGATTGCCTGAGTTCGGGAAGGTCAAGGCGGCAGTGAGCTGTGATTGTGCCACTGCACACCAACCTGGGCAACAGACTGAGCCCCTTTCTCAAAAGAAAGAAAAAAATTTTAATTAAAATGGCTTGGCCTACAGACCTTACATGGGAGATGAAGAGATAATTTTCAAAATACTCTGTTTTTAAAAAGTACACAATTGGGCTGGGTGCAGTGGCTCATGCCTGTAATCCCAGCACTATGGGAGGCAGGCAGATCACTTGAGGTCGGGAGTTCGAGACCAGCATGGACAACATAGTGAAACCCTGTCTCTAATAAAAATATAAAAATTGGCTGGGGGTGGTGGTGGGTGCCTATAATCCCAGCTAGTCGGGAGGCTGAGGCAGGAGAATTGTTTGAGCCTGGAAGGCAAAGTTTGCAGTGTGCCGAGACCATTCCACGGCACTCCAGCCTGGGCAACGGAGCGAGACTCCATATCATATACACACAAAAAAAGTACACAAGTGGCAGGGTGCAGGGGGTCACGCCTGTAATCCCAGCACTTTGGGAGGCCAAGGTAGGCAGATCACCTGAGGTCAGGAGTTTGAGACCAGCCTGACCAATATGGATAAACCATGTCTCTACTAAAAATACAAAATTAGCCAGTTGTGGTGGCACATGCCTGTAATCCCAGCTACTCGGGATGCTGAGGCAGGAGAATTGCTTGAACCTGGGAGTCAGAGGTTACAGTGAGCTGAGATCACGCCATTGCACTTCATCCTGGGCAATAGAGCGAGACTCCATCTTGAAGAAAAAAAAAAGTACACAAGTAACAGATTTTTACTATAAAAATAAATCAAGCAGTGCATAGTGTGACCTGCCTCTCTTCTCTCCTTGTAGATGACACTCTACCCATGAGTACCCCTAGCAATAACTGCTGTCTGTACTCATTATGACTTTTAAAAATGCATAAATGTTTTAAAATGTAGATTCTATTTTTATTCAGGTATGATGAAGCCAACAGATCAGGGGACGATAGCCATTTAAAAGATCGTTTGTTACTCTTCGTTCCCAAGAGGAGGGGTCACACTGCACAGCCTCGGGAGAGAACCCGAGGTTGGTCACAGGCAGAAGACAGGGGAAGGGAGGTTTTCGAGGAAGGAATGGGTGAGGCAGGGTAAGATGGCTAAGCAGGTGAAGGACTAGCCAGCTGGAATAATGTCAGCTGACTCTCCTGAGTGTGGACTGCCCCGAGTTGTCTGATACATGACCTCAGGGTGATTAGGGTAGGGAGATAGTGGTCTTGAGTGTAAAAGTTCAAAAAGGGAGGGATTCAGTGGTACGGCTCTAGATTGGTTAGTTTGCATATCTGGGAATCAGCTAGTCCTGGGAGGGGTAGTCCCTCCCTGGTCAGCAAGGCCCCAAAATGTTGAAGCAGCAATACGGAAACTAAAAATGTGGGTAATGCCACATAAAAAAAAAATTATCTTAGGTTTTTTTTCAATTTTTCCTGATCACAAATTATATGATAATGAGAATCCTTATATAGATTTTTTTTGCATGGGTGTATAATTCTGTATGATACTTAAAAGTATAATTTCTGGATGAAAGGGTTTACATATTTTTAATATGTAATTTAATAAATTACAATTAAAATTTAATTTAATTCCAAAAAAGTGAAACATTTTAATGATCCCACCAATAGTGTATGGAGAGGGTCCCTTTTCTTATACTCTCAGTAATAGTAATACAGGATTTTATCAGTTTTTTAGTCTATTTGGAGAAAGAATGTTAGCAGTCAACCACTAGCAAAAAGTAAGCTAATGTGGAAATGTTAATATCAGATAAAAGAGAATCCAGTGCAAAAAGAATTTTAAAAGGCAGAGTGATGTTTAATTTTTTTTTTTTTTTTTTTGAGACAGTCCCGCCTGTCACCCAGGCTGGAGTGCAATGATGAAGTCAAAACTCACCGCAACCTCCACCTCCCAAGTTCAAGTCATTCTCCTGCCTCAGCCTCCTGAGTAGCTGGGATAACAGGTGCCTGCCACCATGCAGGGCTAATTTTTGATTTTTAGTAGAGACAGGGTTTCACCATGTTGGCCAGGCTGGTCTCGAACACCTGACCTCATGATCTATCCGCCTCAGCCTCCCAAAGTGCTGGGATTACAAGTGTGAGCCACCACACGTGGCCCGATATTTAATTTTTATGTCACCATCTACCAAGACAGTTAAATGACAATAAGCCTTCATGTATAATTACATAGTTGTCAATGGCAATTTCACGTGGTTTAAATTTAATATCTGATTATATAGCTTCAAAACATATAATGCAAAGACTCAAATACAAGGAGAAATTGCTAAATTTGTACTTGTCATAGAAATCTTCAAAATACCTCTTTCAAAGATGGGCAGATTAGGAAGAACAAGTAAAGAGGATTTGAGTTAACATAATTAACACATTTAGGCCGGGTGTGGAGGCTCACACCTGTAATCTCAGCACTTTGGGAGGCTGAGGGGGGAGGATCATGAGGCCAGGAGTTTGAGACAAGCCTGGCCGACATGGAGAAACCACGTCTCTACTAAAAATATAAAAATTAGCCTGGCATGTTGGTGGGGTGCCTGTAACGCCAGCTACTTGGGAGGCTGAGGTCTGAGAATTGCTTCAACCGGGGTGGCAGAGGTTACAGTGAGCTGAGATTGTGCCGCTGCACTCTAGTCTGGGCGAGAGAGTGAGACTGTCTCAAAATAATGATAATAATAATAATTAACAAACTTGACCTACTGGATAAAGATACGTAAACAGAGTATCACTTTCTTTGTGAGTTTTCATGATGTATTTATTACCTACAAGAACACACACACAAGCATCTTATAGTAACTGCAAAAGTAAGTTGTCCAAGAACAGTGACTAACTGCAGTTCAGGTTATATCCCAAGGAAAGTGTCCATAGAAAGGGTGGGATATTTCTTTTATTTTTATTTTTATTGTACTTTAGGTTCTGGGGTACACATGCAGATCATGCAGGATTGTTGCATAGGTATACACATGGCAATGTGGTGTGCTGCCTCCATCCCCCTGTCACCTACATCTGGCATTTCTCCCCATGTTATCCCTCCCCAACCTCCCCACCCACCCCCACTGTTCCTCCCTTGGCCCCCAACAACAGACCCCAGTATGCGATGCTCCCCTCCCTGTGTCCATGTGTTCTCATTGTTCAACACCTGCCTATGAGTGAGAACATGCGGTGTTTGACTTTCTGTTCTTGTGTAAGTTTGCTGAGAATGATGGTTCCATCCACGTCCCTAGAAAGGACACGAACTCATCGTTTTTTATGTCTGCATAGTATTCCATGTACATGTACCACATTTTCCTTGTCCAGTCTATTGTTGATAGGCATTTGGGTTGGTTCCAAGTCTTTGCTATTGTAAACAGTGACACAATGAACATATGTGTGCATGCGTCTTTATAATAGAATGATTTATAATCCTTTGGGTATATACTCAGCAATGCGATTGCTGGATCAAATGGAATTTCCATTTCTAGGTCCTTGAAGAATTGCCACACTGTCTCCCACAATGGTTGAACTAGTTTACACTCCCACCAACAGCGTAAAAGTGTTCCTATTTCTCCATATCCTCTCCGGTATCTGTTGTCTCCAGATTTTTTAATGATCGCCGCTCTAATTGGCGTGAGGTGGTATCTCAATGTGGTTTTGATTTGCATTTCTCTAATAATCAGTGATGATGACCATTTTTTCATATGTTTGTTGGCCACAGCAAAGAATACCTCCTGTGAGGCTTCTGCTGAGGACCTCCTTGGACTCCAGAGCCCCCAGGCCCCTGTGTCTTGTCAGCACTCTGCTATTTCGGGGCTAAGGAGCTCAGGCTTCTCAGATGTGGCTTGGGAAACATAGCCTTCTAATCCAGGAGAGTAAGAAGATTTAGGACTGACGTGGGTGCAGTTAGAGAAACCCCATCTCCTTGGGTATATGGGAGACACCCCAACTATGCAATCTCCTCCTTCAAATCCTCCTTGGGGGCCTGATCTGACTGACGTCAGGGGGTGCCTACTGCTTCGAGGCAGGAAGCCTGAACTTTCCTCTCTGTCACTGTGAATGCTTGGCCAGGGCTGTGGATGTCCTCATTGCTTTTCAGGGAGAAGACAAGCCAGACTAGAGCGGCACCTTCTTTATTGACTCTGTAGGTCTGGAACAAATCAGATCAGCTTGAGGTCCCTCAGCCAACTCTGAAGACAGGGTGGAGATCTCACCTGCATGTTAGAGACTTCTGCCTTGTTGTATCTCAATGTAAATTAAAAACCCAGCAAAGAAGGTAAGAACTTTCTTTCTAGCCTAAAGTAGAAATAAGTGAGACCAGGAGGGCGATAAACTTACATTTTTACCTAGGAAATAAATACAGAATTGTTTTGGTGACAAAGGTCAGAGACAGCTCTTCTGCTATCAACTCATCCAGATGGGGTCTTTGCTAACTGTGTGATGAGATCTTCAAGTGTTGGGTGACCATTCTGCCCTTGATTTCTTGGGCTTACTTAGTGGACAGATAAACTTATTTTTTAAGAGTCAGAGCCTCACTATGTTGCCCGGGCTGGAGTGCAGTGTCTGTTCATAAGTGCAACCACAGCACACTATAGCCTCGGTCTCCTGGCTCAGGCAATCCCCTCAACCTCCTGAATACCTGGGACCAAAGGCATGCTGCTGCACCATGCCCAGCTAATTTTTTTTTCATGATAATATAAGGCATTGATGATTCTAATTAAATTCTAGAAGGAGAAGGGGGTCACACCTACATTGGGTAGATGTGATCACCTGGAGAGATGGTTCAGCTTGGGAAATCACCGGGGGAGAAGACAGCTGATCATTATTACCAAAGGTGCTGATTCAACAGACTGAGGCTCCCTCAAGCTCATTTTCCATGGCTGACCTTATGAAGTTTTCAGGTTTTTAGTTTTTCCCTTGAGAATTATTCTACTTCCCCTTTGTATTCATTTTTTCTTTGTTTCTTTCTTTCTTTTTTTTTTTTTTTTTTTTTTTTCTTTTTTTTGAGATAGAATCTGTCCCTGTCACCCAGACTGGAGTACGGTGGTATGATCTAGGCTCACTACAACTTCCACCTCCCCCATTCAAGCGATTCTCCTGCCTCAGCCTCCCAAGTAGCTGGGACTACAGGCACACACCACCACACCCAGCTAATTTTTGTATTTTTAGTAGAGACGGGGTTTCATCATGTTGGCCAGGCTGGTCTCGAACTCCTGAACTCAGGCGATCCACCAGCATTGGCCTCCCAAAGTGCTGGGATTATAGGCATGAGCCACTGCACCCGGCCATTTTTCTTAGTGATTTCTAAAATGTTCTCTGCTTGTCCGTAGATGACTTCATCTTCTCTTAAACAGCCATATGTGATACCTACTTAGAGCCATTTTCTAATTTTTCTGATATGTAAAAATTTTAGAAAAATATCATTTATTGATTTTTAATTATAAAAGCTATAATAGAAGTATATAAGTTAAAAATGGAACTCTCTCACCCAACCTCATTCTCCAGAGGTAATTACTGTTAATAGCTTGGTGTATAGTGTCTTATTTTGTATACCTTATTGACTTTTTTTATACAGATGATATCACATTAGGCATACTCTTCTGCAGTTTGCTTTTCTTCATTTAACAATGTATCTTAGGGCTGTTTACATATCGACTGGCCTTGTTCTTTGTCATGGTGGAATACAATTCCATTGTTTTTAAAGCATCGTGATGTATTTTTTTGGTTCTTTACTGATAATTACTTAAGATGCTTTTTGTAGTCCCAGCTACTCGGGAGGCTAAGGTAGGAGAATTGCTTGAACCTGGGAGGTGGAGGTTGCAGTGAGCTGAGATTGCGCCACTGCACTCTAGCCTGGCACCTGGTGACGAAGTGAGACTCTGTCTCCAAAAAAATAAATAAATAAAATAAAAATTAAAAAATTTAAAAAAAAAGATGCTTTTTATTTGGGGAGGAGAAGGACTTTAAGACATCTTCAAGGATGTCATTTAAGAAAATTCCTTATCTATGTTTTTCATGACAATGACAAATGTTTTCAAAGTATTACTCATATATAACTTCACCCTCCTAACAACCCTGTAATGAAGTTACCATTATCTATAAATAACAGGGAAACAGATGAGGCCATGGAGCCCCAAGGCAGGGATCACATGCGCCTTTGCTGTTATAATGATAGCTGGGCACCCCTTTCCCCCTTCCACATGATGTAGGAAAACATATCCTTTTTGTCCTTGGTGACAAAAGGTCACCAAGAGTTAGTTACAACTACCTGATGGAGACTTCATTTCTTTCATCTCTTGTGGTTGTTCCAAATAGTTTATTGGCCTGCAATAGATATCGACTTCCTTACTCTAGAGCAATGCTATATTTTTATCTCCAATAAATTTTTTGTAGGTCATCTTGTTCTGCCACCATTTTTGAACTTATAAATTCATGAGAAAAAAGGTGCCTAAGGGCAAAAGAGGATTTATTTAATAGCAATCTCTGACCCAGCAACAATCAGTACACATCCCGCTGATTTGTGCAGCATTGAAATAGTATGTCTTTTATTGCCTCCAAGACACGTTTTTGATTGTTGATATTTTAAAATAAATACTATATCAGATTCAGTCCATCAATATATATTGAGGTTTTATTGTATATGAAGCACTTTAAATATATTATTTATGACCTTTGAAGATATACAGATGAGAAAACTGAGTCTCTGAGAGTTTAAGTGCCCAAGATTGAGTGAGAGGTTGAGCAAAAATTCTCACCCACATCAGACACTCTTCAGTACACAAACTTGGCTATGCAGGCAAGTTACCAATGTATCAAACCAACTTGTGAGTTATTGACATACTCATTCATTGCTGGAGTCCTTTCTAGTTCTAAAACTGTGCAAATATTGAGGAGGAATTTTGTTGGTTTAGACATGATAGCTTCTCACTTTACCCCAAATTCAGATTTTGGTTTCATGACATCTCATAGAACTGGGAACCATTTTGCACACAAAAAGAGATCAGTCTTTTTTTTTTTTTTTTTTTTTTTTTTTTGAGACGGAGTTTCGC